GTTATGCCTACTAGGCTACAAATTAATATGCAGGTTGTGGCTGGTGCATTACCTCAAGACCCAAGCCATCAAAAATGCAAAAGCCGGAAGAACATTGCACATAGCAGAAGTAAAAGTTGCCGTGGTATATTTCATGCCAGTATAGTACAAGTTCTGGTCAATCGTTGGCCTGCACAATACTATTACAGTTAAACGAAGGTGAAAAAAAAAAAAAATCAATGCTGGAAGAATCTTGTAAAATTAAGGTGATCAAAACGAGATTCTTAATTTTATGATAGTCAGGATACTCACTCCAACAAGCCCAGTAACATGATCTTAAAAAAGATGGAAAGGGTCATCTTTGGCCTTACTTTCCTGTCATAAAATATCAGTGAATATAGAGTTAGTTCTTATAACATATATTTGACCAACAGTATTAATAAATGCATGCATAAAAACCCTTGCCTGTCAAAAACTAAGGCAAATGGAGTAATGACAATTGTGGCAACAGCATGCCGTTAGACTACCAAAACATGTTGGCTCATCCCTTCATCCAGTGCATGCTTAGTAATTGTGAACATGCCTGCATAGCCAAATTGCAAGAGTATCACAGCCAAAAATGGCTTTGCCCTGTCATAAAAGGACGACGCTGTCGCCATGTTAATTATTCTTCTATCTCAATATCTATCAGTCTTTCTCCTCGCAATGTAAAGAGCTTATGAGTGAAATGGATGAAGCTTATGAGTTGAGTGAGGATGGAATAGCTTGCTTATATAATGTTCCTAATTGATCAATACAATATGCTTACGTCTTAATTTGTTAAGTCTAGGGACTCCACTAACAAACCTTATTATGAAAGATCACATTGGCTTCCATTAGAACAAGAAAACCAGCAATCATTATTTTTTCAAAAAAAAAAAAACAGAGAGAAGAAGAAAGAAAAGAAAAAACCAAACACCGTATATCGATGTTGCTGACTAAGGATACGATGGAAAGTAGGGTTAGTGCAACAAGAAAAATATTCTCTAGAAAGTGGTGGGGTTTACCTAAATGTAACTTCGGCAACAAAGCATTTTTTTTTTCCTTTAGGATTCAAGGTTATGGGATGGGATTTGACCTGTTGCTGATTTTCTGTCATCATTTCATTCTTCTGTACAACGTTTTGTCGCCACAAACAAATTATTCGCGACATTTCGAGAGTAATAGCTCAGCTAGCTTGTAAGCAGTAAATAAGAAAACATATGTCTTGATAGCTCGAAGATTAAAAAAATAAAAAAGCGCTTTCGATGATTTTACTATCATATGTTTAGCTTATGTCTTAAATTATTAAATAATTAAGTTTGAATTATATTCACGAAGTTTAAGTCTTGGAATGTGAATTTCATTAATTCTCAATCTTATTTTATATATTTTATTATTTATTTATTTATTATATTTAAGATTAGTTGTTTAAACAATCCTCCTCACTTGTAATCTGTTTTTTAATTTTTTTTAAGAGAATTAGACTTTAGGTTCTTCAATTCATTGGACACTGCTACTAGTCTCTGGATCATGATCTAGACCAACAAATATGGATAATTATAGCACAATTGGATTAGTCTCATTATAAGAAAAGGTTTTATATATTAATGTGCTATGACAATATTCTCGTCACTAATCATTATTTGATACACAATTAATTAAGCAATGTTTTTTGGGGTACTGCGAATAATAACTAGTTTACACCGGTAGAGTTTACATTTTGGGTTAAAAAAAAAAATTCAAAGGGCAAGTTTAACGGTGACCTACTTGTTTTTTAAGGCAAGAATGACTCATTTGGGTTATTATTAATCATTTTATTTTGGTATTATTGAATTTATTTTGTTAAAATATTTTTGATGATATCAGTAATATTGTAATTAGAATTGTAATATATTTTTGAAATCTTTTTTTTTTTTAACTCTCATCTCTTCTATCTATTTAAAACCTTTTAAAATAATTCAATTACTTATTAAGGCAAGAATGACTCATGCAGTTGTTTATCATTTTTAAAATAATTCAAATTATATTTATTTAATAATTTAGATATAAAGAATGCAAAGAATCATGACAAAAGAACAGTACTAGAGAATCTCAATTTATATGTGTAGATTACGCGACGTGTAGTAAATTAATTACTTACACTGATTCTATCAATCAAAATAAATTAATGTGAGATATTAAAAAAATATGACTAGAAAAATCCAAGATTGTACATGAACTGTTGAATTAGTGGGATCTTCTAGCTCCCACTTTAAGACAATGGCTCAATACAATTATTGAATGAGTTTTTTTTCCTGTTTTTTTTTAATTTTTAGCAATACTTATCAAGATATAACTATAAATTAATTCAGTTAATTAATTTATTGTCATATGAAGTGGTCTAAATTTAAATCCAATTTAGGGGAGAGATTTTTAGAAATTATTTAGAAGATTCAGTCCGCTTGTGAATCAGATAACAGCAATGACGTAACCCTGTTCTTCTTTTCTTATGATATGCGAACTGTTGATGTTGCTATGGTGGTTTCGCATTCTCGCTAATTGGATAGCAATATATCCGTCCACTGTTACAAACCAATTCCTTAATAATATCTCAGTAAGAATTCTTGATAATTAATTTGGTGGGAAGTGACGGAATATTCAATTATTGAACAGTTTAATCTAGATTTTGGCCCTTTTTTTCTTGATTTATTAAACAGATTTGCCAATAAGAGTTTAGGTCAAGTTACGAGAAACATTGTGGTTTGTGGGGTTGAGATTAGTAGTGGCTCTAAATTAAAGCAGGTGAAGTACAAAGGCATTTTGTTTCAACTTCGCATTATATATCCCTTTTCTATAATGGAGGCCATATTTTACTTATTTTCATCAACAATTGCAATCCATCTCATACTCAAGCAATTTCGAGTTGCCACGGAGTGATTTGCATGCGCTCTTTACCTCTAGGGCATTAATATATAGGAACCAACATCGCCTTCTTGTTTTTTTTTTTTAAATTATTATTGTAATTCTTCAAGAGAAATATTGAGAGTTTTGCAACATCGATCGTTGACACGAAAAAGGGGAGGCCCTCATGCAAAACAGGACGAGGAACATCCTCGATCCAGATCTTCTTCAGGGCCGGGAACTAGAAAATCAAAGAACCTGTAGATTCAACTTGCATGCATGTGTGAGTTGGAATATTGTTACCAAGTCACCTTACAGAGACTACCTTTTGAAAGCACTATCAATATCAAGCTTAGCGATGATTCCATGATGGACACGGCTATCGCTATCTCGTATGTATATAGCTGTATTTACTATTTACCTAGTTAGTTACTGAATTCAATGTCTTGTTGCCCATGGTTATACTAGAGACCAAAAAGCAAGGAAAGCTCTTGGTTCTTGTACTATATAGTTAGTGTAAACTCGATCACGCACCATTAAGTATAATATTTTCAATCTGGTTTTTTATTCTTGAGTGCTAAATTACTTTTATCCGTTACTTACTAACTTTTAATTCATTCAATAATGCCCACTATATAGTAAAACTGCAAAGCGCTAGATGCATTCAGGCAGACCATAAACTTTGTTCCTAAAAGAGGAAAGCACATGGTTTTATTTGAGCCGAGTTCGATCACTATCTGGGAGCCCATGGTTAATTAATGATGCTGATCTGTATCTCACCATTATTATTAACTAATGCAAATCAATATCTGGAGTACGTTGATCTAAACACACGATTTGACTCTTGATGATTTTCATAAGGGTTCTTCGTAAGCCAACATTGATGAGCTCAAGTTCTCTTGTTGTATTGAAAAAAGATGATATCCACTTGTATATGTTGCTTGCTTGTGTGTGTATCCATCTAACAACAATACGCGGTCGTATTCTAATCATGCATTCACAACAAACTCAAGATTTTAATTAGCAGGTGCAATCAGAACAGACAGGGAGTGTGTGTGTGTGTGTGCGCGCGTGTCCACCTAACAACAATACGCGGTCGTATTCTAACCATGCATTTACAACAAACTCAAGATTTTAATTAGCAGGTGCAATCAGAACAGACATGGATCATTTTCCTATGAAGAAGACACAGCTGGGTGACAGACAAAAGTCAAAAGCATTAATCGTTTGTTTGGCGTATCCAAAATGAATCACAAAACCATACACGTGGCAGGATATAGATGTAAGGAGTGCCATGTATGTGATTTATTTTTCAAGTAGTAATCAACTAGATAGATTTCCATATCAATGCATGACATGCATACTTCAGGCAATCTGAATGGGTTGGTGTCGTCTCACGTGACTTTTGCAGACAGTAAGAAACTGCCTTGTGGATTAAATGAATTTTTTTTTTTCCTGTATCCGTTCAATTAAATTTTTTAAAGGTTAACAATTATGATTACAGCTTGATTTGTCTCATGATTGGTCTATTCACTGAGCAGAGATTAAATAATTACATTATTATTATCTCGGAAGCCTGCTAATTAAATGCTTAATGCTTTAATGTCATATGCTGAGGTGGCATCAATATTAAGATTGTATATCGTAGTTCTACAACTAATAATGACAATTTGGAGGGATGATGTATTGCCATAAACATCAAATAAATTGGGGGTCGTGTGTGTAATATTGTTATGCTTCTCAATGGGTCATATAATTATTATCCGAGTGCGGTTTTGAACGGGTGGTTCAGCAGGGGAACTTGATTGGTGCAGGCTGCATGGCTAACTGGACGATCTGAGCCTACTCATCTTTGAGAACCTGAAGAAAGCCAGTGGCTGTGGGAAGCAGATGGTCCCTGCCACCGTACTTGATATCCTCCCAGGATCCTATGCACATTGCTTTCATAGCTGTGCAAAGACGGGGTGCCATGTAAATGCTGGCTCTTCCTGACCCCGAACAATCTCAGCACCTGAAACCATCACAAAAAATAAGATTCCAGGAAAAAAAAACAAAAACACGTCTGCTCTAAGACAAGAATAGAAATCTTAGCTCTAAAAATAAAAAAGTTCAGAACGTCATGTCCCTGCAAATCATGTTCCAATAAAGACAAACATTTCCTTCTTGTAATGCAAGACAGTACATCTCGAAGAGCAACTTCGCTTGTGTAAAAAACCAAGGTCCCTTGGCTAGAAGTTTTTGGGTGAAAGGGATAAAAAAAAAGCAGCCGCCTAAACAAGGCGAGATGTAAATGGTATCAAAACGCCAACATAACTTTGGTGTGTAAATTTTTAATTATTGTTCTTAGACTTTGTACTCGACAGTATGCAAAAGCTTCAATTAGGAATTTGTATTGGCTCAGGTTGCATGGCTTTTTGCAGAAGTTCAGCCTGTTCCTTCACATGCATCTGGTAGAAACCAGTGGCTGTTGCAGCAGATGGCCCGCGCCCAGCATACTTGATGTCGTCCATAGTTCCTCTGCCCAATGCTTTCATGGCAGTGGATAGGCGTGGTGCAATGTAACTGTATGCGCCCATGTTCATTGGTTCTTCCTGGCACCAAACAACCTCCGCACCTAACAAGAAATAGTGACAAAAATGCGTCAATATATGGTTCCTCAAGATGTCAACAGATAAGGTAGCTTAGGAAAGAGAAACAAGAAATTTAAGTTTAACCGCCCCAAATATGAAATCACACACCCAACTCCAATCTCCCCAAACAACTTGCGGCTATTATGATTACCAACTTGCTGGAATCTTACAAGAAATTGACCCGCCATTTTACTCTACCGGGCAGTAACTAAATCTCATATAATGTGTTTTGAGGAGACCAGAAAACCCATAAAACCATGAAGGTAAAATAGATAACATGGAATATCATTGCTGTAATACTCAGGTTACAGGTTTGAGAAGAATTACTTGGATATCGCTTAAGCTCGCGCTGGATGAGATCATATGGGAACGGGCATAGTTGTTCAACCCTACAAATTGCAATGTCCTTTGCCTCAACCTTTCTACGCTCTTCATCAAGCTCATAATAAACCTGCATGCAAGGATTTCAAATGTCAAAACTATCATCCTCTAGGCTACATAAAATAGTGAAATGCAGAACAAGCAACAACCAGAAGTGCATATCACACCTTTCCAGAGCAAAGAACCAGACGCCTGATACCCTCCTCGAGGTCCGAGTGGTCATTTTGATCCTTTATGAGACGTTTAAATCTGGTCCCCTGTTTGTCGAAACCAGGATGGCCTTGCACATCATCAAACTCCGAGAGATTTGATTTGCAGTCCTTGTGACGAAGAAGGTTTTTGGGAGCCATCACGACAAGGGGCTTACGGAAGTCTCTGTGTATCTTAAGAGATGAAGCAAAAACCATGTGAGAAAATGCAGAAAGCTGTCAGGACAGTGGGAAGTGACTAATAATAGTCCCTCACCTGACGCCGCAAAACATGGAAGTAATTAGCAGGGGTTGTAACATTTACAATCTGCCAATTGCATTCTTGGATTTGCTTACGAAAAGTTGGTTCCATCTCGGGTATAACAAAAGGATTGTCATCACTCATCTACAATGAGATTGAAAATAAGACATCATTAAGGGCTATATTTATATAAACCAGAACAGATGCATATGACAGAATACAAAGAAGTGAGAAGTCCACTGATCAGACAAACTTTCATATTCCTTGAGCATCCAACAAAATCAATTTGGACAAAGGAAATGAATTGTATGGAATATTTTGATTGGTCCATGGCTTAAGCAGTCATCAATTAGGCCATGTAGTCCCTGATATACATGTGACAGAATAATATAATCATTAAATTCTGTTGTCAGACATCAATCATTAAACTGTAATCATAATGGGTATCTAATAATCAAGTAATTTATTTAACAGAGAGATACATTTGTTAAAATCTCTCATAATCAAATTTATGCAGGGACATGCCAACTTATAGTGAAACTGCTTCAATTTCCCCACTTGAAGGTTCAACACATCTCAACGTGGATCTTAGCATCAATGTGTAAAATATCGCTTAGAAGTACAAGTGCAGGACAATAGACAAACAAGTTTGGGATTGTACACCTAAAAATAATAATAATAATTAGGGGAATTTATTTTGAAATATGAAATTTCCTTTGATATTGTGAATAGTCTGTAACAAAACTCTTGTTATTTGTTATGCTATCTGGTATTTGAAACTTATAATTAGCGTTGGACAAAGCTACTTCCACTTATTACCATGGAGTAAGAAACCATCTGGTAGAATGCAAGGAAAAGAAAATAGCACAGAAGTCTTTGTTGGAAATACCTGAAGGAATCGTTCCAACCGTGCACTAGAATGTTCAGGGCCCTGGCCATCATATCCATGAGGAAGAAGCAAAACAAGACCAGTTTGTCTCAGCCATTTTGATTCACCACTGCTCAGGAACTGGTCAAATATCACTTGAGCCCCATTAGCAAAGTCACCAAATTGAGCTTCCCAAATTACCAAAGAATTTGGACTTTCCATCGAGTAACCCAATTCAAATCCAAGAACACCGAACTCTGAGAGAGAGCTGTGAACAAGACATAACAGCTAGTGGTTAAATGGAATTCCACTATATAGCACTAACTCAACTACAAATGCTGGGTCTCAATAATCACATGGTGCAGACTAATAAGTTTCCACAACCAAGTCTTTGGCACCAAACTACATCTATTCAAGGGAAGCATGAGGCATTTTCTACCCAGTGAAAGTTCAACACGAGAAGAGAAAAAAAGACTTGATATATTACCTGTTGCTGACAGTAAACATCTCTTCATTTTGGTTGATGGTGACATGATCCAGTGGGCAATACTTCTCCCCAGTTTCCTGATCATGAATCACTGAATGACGATGACTGAAAGTACCTCTTTCAACATCCTGACCGCTCAATCGAACATGGTTGCCTTCTACTAGCAGTGTGGCAAAAGCAAGAGCCTCCCCAACAGCCCAATCAATTCCTTCCCCTGTTTCAATCATTTGTGCACGTTGATCGTAAACCTTCTTTACAGCTCTGTGAGGCTTAAAATTATCTGGAAGGGTTGTAATTGCTTTGCCTACGTTCTTCAAGATCTCAGGTTTCACTCTGCATAAGAGCATAAAAATTTCAATATGGAAATGCAAAAAACTCAAGCATAAAGATTTCAATATAGAAATGCAAAAAAAAAATGAGACAGGCAACTAAATTTAGAACTAGTAAGTTGCCAGCATACCCAGTGTTTCTGACACGTGAAAGCTGTTCGGGAGACTTAAAACCAGACCAATGAGATGCAAGCCAGTCTCTTCTATTAGTAACATGATCTTTGCTTGCCAAGAACTCTTCATTGAGGATTGAAAGGACCTTCTCCTGTATCCTATGAATATCTTCTTCAGTCACCTGTCCTGATTCTGAGAGTTTCTTTTTATAGATCTCCAGAGCTGATGGATGATTCCGAATAACCTGGTAGGTCCCCAATCAGAAATGTCATAAGTCTGCTTTACATGTCTCAAGAGAGAAGTTGAACGGGTAGCACTAATAGAAAATAGGATTCTAGCAACAATAATGAAAAAAATCATGTGAAGGATAAACAAGTTTGTAAATTATACAAGGTTGCATCCAGAACCTAGCATGGATTGCTGGTTCTAATGAACTGAGAGCCAAAGGGTGGAGAAAGGAAACGAATACACAAACACACACACACACATATTGTGCTAACCTGATACATTTTGGGTTGTGTGAAAGAAGGCTCATCAATCTCATTGTGCCCAAAACGACGATAGCACACTAAATCAACCACAACATCTGAATGGAAAGTCTGGCGCCACTCAGCTGCAAGTTCGCACACATGAACAACTGCCTCCATATCATCTCCATTTACATGGAATATAGGTGCATTCAAGGCCTTGGCAACATCAGTGCAATATTGTGAAGATCTTCCTGCCCTCGGATCAGTTGTGAAAGCAACTTGGTTGTTCACCACAATATGTATGGTTCCACCAGTAGTATAGTTTGGCAGTGCACTAAGATGTAGAGTTTCATACACCACCCCTTGTCCAGCAAAGCTACCATCACCATGAATCAAAATCCCCATGTTCTTAGTCCTGTCAGAATCGTTGGAGTAATATTGCTTGGCTCTAGTTTTTCCAACAACAACAGGATCCACAGCTTCCAGGTGACTAGGATTTGCAACCAAAGATAAATGGATTCTCTTACCACCTCTAGTTGGACGATCATAAGAAGTTCCCAAGTGATACTTGACATCACCAGTTCCAGTGTAGAGCCCAACTTCATCTACAGGTTTTGTGCCACCACTAAACTCACTAAATATTTGACGGAGTGGTTTCCGAACCACATTACCCAGTACATTCAATCTTCCTCTGTGAGGCATTCCAATAACTATGCTCTCAACCCCAAGATCAGCTGACCTATCAAACATCTCCTTCATTCCAGGAATCAAAGTCTCTCCACCTTCAAGTCCAAACCTCTTAGCTGCCGTCCACTTACTGGCCAAGAAGTTCTCAAATTGTGTACTCCATATTAACCTATCAAGAATAACTTCATGCCTCTGACGATTGTACTGCATAGGTGTTGGGGTTTCAATCTTGTCTCTCAACCAGTTGCATTTTTCACGATCTGCAATGTGCATGTACTCATACCCAATGCTCCCGCAATAAGCCTGCTCAAGCCTTGTCAATATGGACCTAAGAGTCTGCACTGGACGGTTTTCAGACAAAAATCCAGCCATCTTCCACACTCCCAAAAAGAATTCTCTATCAAGATCAGCTTCCGTGAAACCATATAGAGCAGGATCCAATTCATCTGGGATTTCTCTTTCTTCCAACCCCAGTGGATCCAACTTGGCTTTCATGTGACCATTAACCTGGTAAGCCCTGACAAGCAGCAGCAACCGCATACTCTCCTGAATAGTCTGGCCTGAAATTCCGGGAGAAGTAGCAGCCTGGCCCACAAAATTCCTAAAGAAATTATCCCACGACTCATCCACGCTATTTGGATCAGCTTCCCATGCTCGCTGAAGCTCCTCTAAATAAACACTACTGGTCCCATCTAAGAAGTTATCAGTTAGCTTAGAGAGAGGGACAGGGTGAGGGACAGGCGCAGTTTGCTCCTTAGACTTAGTCGCTGTTGAATGGAAATATCTACTCTGAGAAGGTATAACCCGTGATCTCGTTGCATGCGATCCACCCTGAGATAAAGTCCTTCTAATGGCAAGCCTTGCTACACTAGCACCCGCTCTAAACCAAGCCATGGCTATCAATCCACACTAACCCAATACCACCAATTCTTTTTCAAAGATTATGCACCTCCCAGGCTCAAGAATCAATCATAAAAAACATGTATGTTTTCCTTATTAAAAAGAACCCCCCTGTTAAAGAAAGCCAGAAAAAACAAAAAGAATCAATAAGAAACTATAGTACTTGATAATCACTTTAACGAGTAAAAAAATAACGGCACTTGATGCTGAAAATGCATAAATGATAGTCATAGAATCCTCTCTTAAATCCGGCATTAAATTAGGAAATAAATAAACTAAAAAAAAACAATATCAATCGATAGTGCTTAATCACTCATATCATCTCACTGAACAAAAGGACTGGATTCAATCCTCTAATTCTTTTGGATTAAGATAAAACAAAATACAGGTTATGAACTAATCATATCATATAAAACAAAATACAGGTTATGAACTAATCATATCATATAATTAAAGTAACAAAAGGTAGAAGAAATTAAGTAACACTTTCAACATACAGCAAGGAAACGTGACTTAGCACGATCTGAGCTGCTGGATTAGAGTAAATTTGCTTGTGAGGGAAAGAAAAAAAAGAGAAATGTCTTTGGACACAAGGAAAATGCGTGCGTACCAGAGAGAAAAAAGAATTATAAGAAAACCCTAGTCGCCGTGGAAAACAGAAGCGATGATGCTGTCCTCAATCCAACTACGGTGGGCTCGCATTTGAACTATATCTTGCGTCTTCTTTCCTCTCCAATATTCTCGAATGTTATTCTTTATTTATATTGTTTACATTATTATTTATTTGATCTTTCCCCTTTTCTATTATTTATTTATTTACTGCTCTATCTTATTTTGGTGATGTGATAGTTTGTCCTCCGGGCACAAGCGCTGGCAAAGCCCGGCTGGCTTCTTAGGATTTTTCCTGTTGTTGACCTGGCTTGGCTTTGGATAAATTCAGTTCAGCACGTTTCTCTAGTTTACCGCTATTTGTTTACATCATTCACTCATCTTTTTATTTGTTGCTGTAGGATTGAGGTATAACGGTCTGAGTATAACGGTTTGGCTACAAGTTGATTTTTAAAATATTTATTATTTAAAAATATTTTTAAATAATATTTTTTAAAAAAATTATTTTTAACGTTGTAAATTAAAATATGTTAAAAATAGAAAAATAATTTAAAAAATTCAAGAAATAATAAAAAAATCAATTCAACTCCATTTGGAAATGTGGTGCACCTTTAAATTTTTATTTTTGTGTTAAAATATTTTTTTATGATTTTAAATTGTTTTAATATGATAGTTTTTAAAAATAAAAAAATATTATTTAAATAAAAATATTTTCGACAGCACTGTATTTATAATTCCAAACAGATAAAAAAAAAAAAAAAAGAAGAAGAAGCTTAAAATCGAATTTGCAAACCGCATAATCAGCACTAGTTTTCGTCTTGTCTTCTTAATCCCATGTTGGATAGAAATGACAGAAATCTAAAACACACGAACACCATGGTTCACCGAGAACTTACCAGCGGGTCCTTTAACACCTTACAGTTGGAACGTGCACTGAATCCGGATGGAGGTTAAACCCTGAGACCAAACTGGCGCCGTTCGGTATTTAAGATTGTAGGACCACCTTTCTTGCTGGAACCACAAACCAACTCCAACTTCTATTCTGAAGAAGTCAAGACCACGGCTTCCGTTTTCTTTTCTTCTGTTTTTTATTCGGACATTACGTGCGCACTTTAGTTAATGACGAGTGGTTTGTACCTGTAATGGGGACCGCTATTGCCTCGTCGAAAGTCGTGCGTATTTCATGCATGATTCGCCCATGCCCAAGTATAGCAACAAGCAAGATGCTCTCATAAAATAAAAGGGGGCACACTGCACCGAGCATCCGAGAAGGGATGGACAGAAACAGGCCAACACGAAGAAACCCACGATCTGCACGCGGCCATTCCCACTTGGTCGGAGCTGTAATCAGGCTACAGAGGGACAGAAGACTCAAGACGAGGAAGTTTGATAGCAGATGTTTTTTTTTAAAAAAAAAACTTCATAAAATAATATTTTTTATTTAAATTTTATTTTAACATCAATACATTAAAAAAAAAAATTAATATATTAATTTAAAAAAATTTAAATTTAAATTTTTTTTTTAAACAATTTCAAAACACAAAGTCAGAAAAACTGTTCTGATCAGTGGTCTTATCATATGCTACCCGCTCGGCTTAGTTAATGGCTTTGATGCACATCAATGCATTTTCTTTTCTCCGTTGAAAATGAGGGTATCTGGAGCTTAGGGCCTTTCCGGAGGAGCAGAAGGGACGTGACTGTCAAATCAAGCAATACAATCAATTGTCATTCTCTTGTTCTACTTCTACTCGTTTGGTGCCTCCATAAGCGGACATTCAATGAGCATGGCCAATATATCCAGCAATCAGCCAGCCACATGTAGCGGCAGCATGGTACAAGCTATCACATGAATAAATTCAACAACGAACTTACCAGTAGATTGTTTGCTTGATTGCATTCAAAGATGCGCACAAACAAGATTACAAATTCTGACAAACACGAGCACCAGGCATCTTATAGGAAATGGGAGCTAGATTTGGATAATCCATCTACATTGAGCCAGTCAATGAGTTCAAGCCCCAAGCGACAGAAAGGGAAAAGATATGTTATAAATTCCACATACTGAAATACTGCTTTAAACACACTAAGGTTGGTATTCTGGAAAAATAACAGGGCACAACACATGCACCCAGCACATTGTCATCAGCATTAATCCGACACCCCAATGGGTGCCACTTGCATAACCTTCCCTCTCGGTCCATATTTTGATTCTCCCTTTTATGAACCACAGCAAGCTGACTTTTGGGCAGCTTGGCTACCACTGGCTGATGGATCTGGTTGGTTAATCTTGATTGTTTGAGGCTGGTGCCACCAGGCAAAAGGAGAAATACATCAATATTTGAGAAGAGAGGTACAAAAACAATTCCCCTGGGATTTGGTACTGCTAAACTATTTTCCAACCAGGGAACTACAGGAAGAAATTATAATATAGTTTTACAAAATAAAAGCAAAAGTTACCTCTGCCCTGGAATCAGTTTCCGAGATCCTTTGCTTGATATCCCTTGCAATTGAAAAGAATACCTCCTCCACGTTCAAATTTGTCTTAGCACTCTACAAAAGATACTTTGCATGTAAGAAAATAGAAAATAGATGAAGTTGTGACGATTCCATTCTAGAAGCATATTTGCACTCACAGTTTCAAAGAACTTGATCCCATACTCATCTGCGAGAGCTTGACCCTTGGAGGTAGGCACGGCCTGGGGAAAAAAGGGAGGAATATCTTTCCTAATTATCATCAATGGAACACACACACACACACACACACACACATGGAGGAATTGAATGAGGATCCCCAATGAAGCACTCTAAATTATAAGAAAGAGCAAGACGACTCCACTTCTAGGGTGAAAACTTGCAAAAAAGGGCTCATTGTATAGTTAATAAACTTGCAACCCAAACCCAAAACGTTAATGAAACATTTCTTGCAGGCTGTAAGATACAGCGCATACCCTTTTGCTCTCATCCATGTCTGCTTTGTTTCCCACCAGTATCTTGTTGACATTATCAGAAGCATGCTGTTCAATATTGCGAATCCAGTTCCTAATATCTGATCATAAAAAGACACTAGCTCTATCAGAGATTCAAGGATGTTAAACAATGGAAGAAAGACACAAGATGAAAGAAAAGTTTCACTATATCTGTAAGGAGATCTTTCACATATTCATCTTGATGAAATAGGAAGCTAACAAGAAACACATGTTGCAGGTTACCCACACCCAAATACAAGCAATACATATACAGAACAAATATCAAGCAACAAACAGGTATGCTGATTACCCACACAAAAAACAGAAAATGCAAGTAATACATGTTGACAATAAAAAAGTAGCAAGATCGGTATACTACTAAGATTTCTTAAAATCTGAAGGCCAATGGTAAGGCAATCAGAGAACTAACTGTTGAAAGATGATTCATCAGTCACATCATACACGAGCAAAATCCCCATGGCTCCTCGGTAATAGGCTGCAGAATAGTATAAAGCACATAAGCAACTCTAGGCTCAAGGCTCAAATGTGCATTTATGGAAAAGACCGCAAATTTGAAAACAGAGAGAATTCATAAATGCCAAACACAAACCTGTCGTGATAGTTCGGAAACGTTCCTGGCCTGCTGTATCCCATATTTGTAGTTTAATCCGTTTACCATCAAGCTCAATGGTTCTTATCTTAAAATCAATGCTGTTTTAGAAAGGTACAGATAAAGGATCAGATTGCTGCTCGAAAAAAATAGTTAAAATGTAGCCTTCCAGCATTCAGCAAATGAAACATGATTGGGCTCTTAATTAATTATGTTGAAAATATGTCAACTAATTTGCATCATTCATATCAAGATCCTCTACCAAGGAAACTGCCTGGAATGGTTATGAGCACAACCAAAATGGGACATCAAATTTCTGAACTTCATTTGCATCACTACACTACAAATTTTTCACCGGTATCTGAAGAGCCAAAGATAATGAAACTAGCTAGCGACATGAAATCCAGTCACCCTCAATTTTCCCTTGTAAATCACATGAGCAAGCCCAAAGTACTTAGTATTATTAAACTACTTCACATTCACAAGTCCAAAAATGCTAAAATAGTTTCACAATAAAAAATTGGGAGAGTTGTCAGGAAAGCAAACCCGATGGTGGTAATGAAACTGGTTGTGAAGGAACCATCAGAAAAACGCAAAAGCAGACAACTCTTCCCCACACCTACAAAAACATTAACAAGAACTGGGATTTCAAATAATCATTAAAGAGGAAGAAAAAAAAAGGACACAGTATGTAGATCAGCCCATAATGTAGGGATTGAATCCCCCCTGAAATCACATAGATTCTACTTCTAAAGTCGGATACAAACTGGCAGGAAATGAGATCTGCCAGCAGCTACCAATGTAAAATATTAGGAAGCAACCTGGTGGAATTGAAAAATCCTGAAAAATCTTTCAACTGGTTTACCTTAAAAAAGAATCCAATCAAAAATCAATCACTGATCGACATACAACAAGTGGGATTGCTAACACCTGACTAGTATGTTTAATTTTTCAGGTGTGAATATGGAATATGAATCCCTTTCAATTCCATTTCAGTACTGTTTTTACTGTGAATAACATGGGTCTCTTGAGGTGGAACAAAGATTGACCACTTCATCATGCACTTGTTGAGAGGGAATTCTCTCAAATAAATGTTGCAGGGTGAAGTTCAACAAAAGGGTTACAATTTCACCAGAAAAATGAGAAATTACATTTCAAGTGAACTAAATAGCTTCCCTTTTGTGTTATTAAGACTCTCTTATAAGTACATTCAACTTGAAATAAAATTAAAATATAAATTCTCTCAAATAAATGTTGCGGGGTGAAGTTCAACAAAAGGGTTACAATTTCACCAGAAAAATGAGAAATTACATTTCAAGTGAACTAAATAGCTTCCCTTTTGTGTTATTAAGACTCTCTTATAAGTACATTCAACTTGAAATAAAATTAAAATATAAATTCTACTTGGAATTGGAAAGAAATCTCATTTCCATTCTGCTCTCAATACTTGGGGAATCAAACATACACTTACTATTCTAAGAAAAAAATAAGATAAAGGGGGAAACTTGACAAACTAACCTGTGATACATTAAAAGCAAGTCAAGTCATTCAAGATCAGTGCAAAGAAAGAATCATAAT